AAAAAAAAAAAAAAAAGAACAAAAGCTTTGGAGGGGAGTACAATTAAACTATAGCAGTTGCTAATTTGTTTTCAGGCATCAGTCTTTATCTCTGCTCTTCCTCTTTTGAAATCGACACCATCTCTCCTGTCACTATTTTAATTTAGAACAGTTTTAATTTGTTACTTAGACTGTTGGAATAATCTCACACCAGCATTCCTGGTTGTAGACGTTTTTCTCTGTGTCCCATTCACCTTATTATAAGAAGAAAGAGCTTCTAAAGTGTAGGTGTAATTAAATATTTTCCGACTTAAAACTTTTTAATGGTTTCCTAATGCTTTCAGGGTAAATATCCTTAATTCCTCTGTATGGGAAGCCATTGATGATAAGGTGTACATTTGTCTCAACAGATTCCTGTCTTTCCTGTATTTACTTCTCCCTTTTTATCTCTCCCTGAAAGCCATAGGAAACTATCCATCACTATCTTTCTGACTTGTCATTGTCCATTTTACTTTGAATGCAGCATTCCAGATGTCATATGATCAATATGAAGTAGAAAAAAATTGTCTTCTAACTTCTTTACTGAGATTATGGTTAATATTTAATTGGTATGGTCTCAGTCTTTAGTAATTTTTATTTCACACAATACCTTTTATTTAGTGTGTCTTTACACTCACAATAACATTAAACCTTGGGCCAGGAATGTAGCTCAGTGGCACAGTGCCTGCCTGGCAAGCATGAGGCCCTGAGTTCGATTCCCAGTACTGAAAAAAAAAATTAAACCTCAAAGAAGTTTTATTAAGCCCAGTTTTAATTTATTGCTATCTCAAACTATATTAAGTAATAGGGGTACATCTACTTGCTACCACCACAGTACCTATCAGATAACTACTTGATCTGTTCTCCCCAGTGCTTGTGATGATGAATTTGATTTCAGCTAGGAAGTATTAGTGTTCATATTGACCAGTCACCCAGATGACTAGATGGTGTCTATTTGTTTCTTTATAGATTTTTTTTTCATAATTTGCAAAATCAAGAAACATTCTGCTAAAACTAGCTAGCCAGCTTGGAGGTAAAGCAGTTGTTTCTTTTCTTGTCAGTCCTTCACTTCCTCATTCCCAAGGGAATCAGGATGTCCCACCTTATTTTTAAAAGCCTAAATATTTCAAACTTTTATTCTCCTGTTGGATTTGAAAGGGGGACTTATTAGCTCTATCTTGATATAGCAGGAGCTCTGAAAGTCTGTTTGGTTAACACTGAAGATTGGAGGAAATGTGACTCTGTCTGTGTGTTTTAAGCCCCTAAGGTAAGATCAGAAAGCGTCTGGGCAGTAAGAGCCAAATAGTTGAAGTCATACATTAATTATGGTCATGAATCATTTTTATTTTTAAAGTCTTTGCCATTTGACAAGGTTGTTTGCATAGTACCAGTGAA